TTATGGTAAAATTTTGGAAAATGGGCGTGGCACCGCCCACTTATGATCTCATATAAGTATATCGGTAACCGTTCTACCAATTTGTACCAAACTCGGTATGGTTATTGTACTTGGCAAATAAAAACAAAACGTTGAAAATTATTGAAATCGGACCAAAATGACGGCCGCTTTTTATATAACGGTAAATTTCAGAAATGCTTGAAACTTCAATAATTCGNAAAATGGGCGTGGCACCGCCCACTTATGATCACATATATGTATATCGGTAACCGTTCTACCAATTTGTACCAAGCTCGGTATTTTTATTGTGCTTGGCAAATAAAAACAAAACGTTGAAAATTATTGAAATCGGACCAAAATGACGGCCGCTTTTTATATAACGGTAAATTTCAGAAATGCTTAAAACTTCAATAATTCGTAATTTAAGGATTCTAATTTACTCAAATCTATACACCCCGGCTTACCATCTGGCGGTAGCTTTCGGAAAGGTGGAAAAACATATATTTAATACTTGCGCCGGGTATTTAATGTTCGGCTCCGCCCGAACTTAGACTTTCTTACTTGTTTTGTTAAAGGTTTTTCCCATTTTTTCCTTACAAAGAATTTTTGAATTTTTTTCTACTAAATTTTATTACACTAAAACTTAATGGGCTACAAAACTATATACTCAAAATAATTCAAAAAAAATCTGATCAAAAAGTTGAAAATTTGCATGAAAATTTATTGAATTTTCCGGAGTTTTGCACTTAGTTAAGAAATTATATTTTTAAGTCTTTTGTTGTTGTATAAACCATATTTTTATAAAAAATTTACGAAAACAAATTATAATAAAAATTGTTGCACTTATTGTGAAAAATTCTCTGGGCCAATTATTTTTGCCGTGAGTGTATGTATCATTGCAGATGTATGTATGTATGTACATAGCTACATATGCAAAGTCATTTCTTACTATGTTTTTATGCTGTTGAACTCTTTTTCTATATTTTTTTTTCTGTGCCGCTTTTAAGTTTTCTTAACCTTTTTGATTTCACACCACTTGGACTTTGATTGAAGTTCAAACTATAGTCAATTGAGTGTGGCTAGTGAAACAGGTTTTCATTAATAGATTTACTAACAAATTATAAGTTAGCGCAGTGTGATCAGCAAGTAAACAGGCTGCTGCTATATGTGGTATGAATGCATTGTTGTTGTTTTTAATATTTGAAAAAGTTGTTGTGTTTGCCATAAAAAGGGGTGTAAGCATATAAACTGGGCATAGATATATATGCACTGGATACATATTTAAACATGAATTAATGCATGTGTACGCAGTGGAACCTCGATATAACGAAGTTGAAGTGCTTAAACAAATGCTTCGTTATACCTATAGTTTCGTTAATTTTGTAGAATATCAAAACCTAGTTTCGTTTTTTTTTTTTATGGGAGTCTAACCGTGGACATAATGGGAATTCGCTATGTCGACACTTCATTATACAGAAGCGAAAAAAGTGGGGTGTATTCGGGCTGTGATATATGGCAGGTAGAATCCATTAATTCCGCTCAATCACTGATGTGTTTTGGCTACCAAATTTAAATTATACAAAAAAAAATATTAAAATGTTGAAAAAAAATTATTAAGAAATCTATTTTCTTTTTTTCGCAGTAATCTCGCCTCCCCCATCAAATCATTTTACAAGGGTAAGAATGTCTTCATTACCGGCGCCACTGGCTTTGTGGGCGTCACCATCGTTGAGAAGCTGTTGCGTGACATACCCGAAATAGGCACCGTCTATCTGCTGATGCGACCCAAAAAAGGCAAAACTGTGGCGCAACGCTTGGAAGAGATACGCAAGAATTCCGTTTTTGACAAATTCAAAGAATTGACACTCTATGAGAAGCGTTTCGATAAGATTGTAACCATAGAAGGCGATGTGGGTCAAGAGCATTTGGGCATCTCCGAAGCGGAACGGCAGGTGTTGATCGATAATGTACATGTGGTATTCCATTCGGCAGCCACATTGGATTTCTTTCAATCGCTCAAAGAGACCACAAACATTAATTTGCTTGGCACACGGCGGGTAGTGGAGCTGTGCAAGCAACTAACGAAATTGGAGGTGAGTGTAAATTATGTAAATAGCAAAGTGAGCAAAAAAGAAACTAATTTTTTCTTATTATTTTTATTTTTTTTACATGTTTACATTATGTGTGTATTTACTTTGATTTTTCGTTTAATAATTTTCTCTTTGCACTTTTTGCTTACAGGCTCTTGTTCACGTTTCTAGCGCTTATGTGAACTCGTACATCACTGAAGTTGAAGAAAAATTATATCCAGCTCCAGATGACCCTGAAAAGGTGATACACTTAGCTGAAACACTGAGTGATGAGGCGCTCAAGGAGTTGGAGCCAAAGTAAGAATCAATTTTTGTTTTTATAGAACGGCGAAATTAATTTTAATTGCACCAATATAATTAATTTTGTTGTTATCATTAGATTGTTGAAAGATCATCCGAACACGTATACGTTCACCAAACACTTGGCCGAACATGAGGTGGCCAATGTGGCTTCACGTTTTCCATGTGGCATTGTGCGCCCAAGCATGAGTATGAAAAAACTGTTTTTATTATTTTTTAGCATCTGGTTTATACAATTAATTATTATTTTTTATTCGTTGCTTTTTTATATATATATATATATTTTTTTTTAATTTTTTGTATTCAATCCATTTTTTTATGTTGTTTATTTTTATACTGTTATGTTATTTTTTGTAATTTTTCGTCCTATCCCAACCACACAATCTACTACTAGTTAGTTCACATTTATTAATTACATATATCCGCTCCTCCCTCCCCAGTCACCGCTGCCTGGAAACAGCCCACACCCGGCTGGACGATATCAAAGAACGGACCACAAGGCTTCTTTATGGGCGCATCTCGTGGCATTTTGCGTCGTTTGCCTTTAGATCCGACCATCATTATGGATTACATACCGGTTGATGTAGTGGTGAATGCAATTATCACAACCGGTTACTATGTAAATGCGCTCAAGTAAGTAAATTTGTTTAACTACAGGTGGAAACCTTGCTAGAAAGAGCAAACTCAGTCTATTAAATAGAGCCGGTAGTCAAATGAGAAAAAATGTGCAAAGTGGTCACGCAACTATAGTTGGTTGGAGGGCTATAGTTAAATATTAGCTAACAACCAAAGGGTATATACATATATACGTACATGCATATGTTTGTACATAATCATATTCAAGTTAATGCTATTAGTGTATGTACTTTTGTTTTTGTTTACTTGACAATTTTATAGACAAGTTCAGGCATATGGCGGTGTAAAAATGCCGGCTAAATGTATTAAGAAATATGTATGTATACAGTGAAATTTGCATAACTACTTTGAAATGGAGATTGGGAATTAAAAATCAAATTTGTACATATTTGCATGAACACAAGATGGTTATGGAGAAGATTTTTTATATACATACATACTTTTTATATACCTAAGAGCCGTTTTCTGAAGGAACTTTTAAAATTTATCATCTGCCCTTTAAACAAAGTGGGCTCTCAAAAAATGTGCCCAAAAAAATTTTCCTGAGTAAAATTGAAAAAAAAAAATTGAAATTTATTTTATTTTATTTTATTTTTTAATATTTTTCTATTTATTTGTTTTTTTTTTTTATTTTTCTATTTATTTGTATTTTTTCTATTTATTTTATTTTTTCTATATTTTGTCATCAATTTTATTTCGCACACTACCTCAATTTTCATGCAATGCCATTTATATGGCCCCTAAAAGCATACTACGTTTTAGACGCGCATGTGTTATTGTTGTTGCCTATAGTGCGGTAGTGAATTTCCACATACACAAAGTAGCTCACTAATTTTAGCGGTTGGGTAGTGGATGCTTTAGCGCAAGTTGTTAAGGCGTTGACTGTAAGCGTCGGCTGGCACGCGCATGTTCGAATCCCAGCACAAACATTTGTTAAGAAAAAAATTATCACAAAAAATATATATTTACACAGATTTTTATATGAAGCCGCTCTATTTGGCCGGATTTATCCACATATGGAAATATCCGTTAATGCAAGAGCAGGCAGATTGAAGTAAGGAGGGAATTACGCCTTCGGTGCCCAAATAACGGTTTTAAATCCGTGGGTTAACTATCATCCTTGTTTCCCGCCACAATTTTTTTTTTTTATATAAAAAATAAAAGATATTAAGCATATTTTTCACTATTATTTTTGTCGTAATTAATAACTGTAACTTTATAACCTCTTTTAACTAAAGGTGCACTATGTACATATGTATGTACCTATCGTTCAATCAAATATGTTTTTTTCGTTTTGCTCCTATTATATAATAAGTAAATAATTGTAATTCACTTACTTGCCGTTTCTGCCATTTCAGAGTCAAAAATGCCGGCAAGCCAGCTGAGCTACAAATCTTCCATCTCACTTCCAGCACCTACAAGCCATTCCGTTTTGAGTTTTTAATCAATAAAATTAATGCATTCCTACACGAATATCCTTTAGTTTCTGCTGTTTGGTAAGTTTTTTCAGCAAATTCTTTTTTAACTTTACACTAACTGTGCGCCTTTTCTTCCTTTAAGGTATCCAAATCTAAAACTGGTCAAAAGTCTATTCCTCTTTCGTATAGGCGCCATACTTTTTCATTTTATACCAGGATTTTTTCTGGATTTGGTCACTAAACTCAGCGGCGGCAGACCTATGTAAGTAGAATTTTTCAAATCGGGTTTTTTCTAACTTCTAATAATATTTCTACCCCATCCTTCCATCAGCCTCATACGCCTACACAAAAGCGTCTGGAACTCATTGAATACATTGGAGAAATTCATTTTTACTGAATGGCATTATGACAGCAAACATACATTGGCCCTATCAAAGCAAATGGATCCACGCGATCGTGAAATATTTTTCATTGATATTGGCGATTTAGCTTGGGATGATTACTTCCTTAACACAATTATGGGTGTGCGTCAGTATCTGAGCAAGGAATCACCAAAAACATTGAATGCTGCTAGAAAGAAGGATAAGATGTGAGTTCCAAAGTAAAGTATCGATTGGTCGTACACATTACATTCTTTCTTTTTCTTCAGTCTTCTCGCCTTGCACGTCGCTCTGCAGTTGGCTTTCTATTATGGCATTTGGAAGCTAGCCATTGTGGCTTTTGGCTTGTCTAACGCTAAAGCGGCACTTATACTCCCGGTTGCATACTTCCTCGTGGGCATGATTTAAGCATCACTTTCAGTAGCAAGAGTTTAACATTTACATACTTCTTTATTTAATTGAATTTTTTTGGATTCGCTATACATGTTTGTCCTGAGTAATATCATGCGCAAATATTGAATTGAATTGATGCGCTCTTGAATTTTTAATTTCATCTAAAAGGTAGGTTTGGTTTATAAATAGTACTTATTTGCATATCTGAAACCTAAATGAATAAAAGTGTTTTTGTATACTATGTACGTATGTGCAAAGAATAAAAAAAAATTATAAAAAATGATGAAATCTATGCATTACGTTTTCGCGTCTTTAATTTCGCTTTCGGGTTCCTGCTTGGGTTTTTGTATTTCACTCAACACCTCTTTGTGCCGTTCCTCTGCGCGCTTTTGTTTGAAAGTCTTTTTACCCTTTCGCTGCTTTGGCGCCCGTCTTGCTGGTCTGCGGCCATGATCCAACCAATCGCGTATAGCACTTTCAGCCTCTATGTGCGCAGGTATGTGTATTTGTCGTATCACCCGTGGACGCACCATGAACTGTTCAAAAGGATATTGTTGTCCATTACGGTCAATAAAAACGACATCACGCAAGTTGATATTCATGTAGCCGTCCGTTCCATCGGCATCAATACGCCCAGCCACAGAGTTTTCGTTGAGCAGATCTATCAGCACCGACTGACCATCTAGCAGAAATGGTATGCAGTTGAGAGTATTGGTAACAAGGTAAGTTTCCTTTCCACTTGCTTTTTTCATATTTATATCTAAAAATATGTATTTATTTATTCCTGAATACGAGTTTTCGTTTAAATCATATTTCGCGGAAATAGTCAATTGGAGCTTGCATTTCGCGGGAATCGAGTATTTTGACAACTGTCAGCTGACTGGTCTCGTTCACAATGAACGAATATGAAAAAGATTTTGGATTGGTATTTAAAACTTTCTTCACAAAGCTCATATAATTTTTCGCTAGCTTGTAGTGCATTAAATAATCTGCTAATTAAAAAATTCAGATATATAGATTTTGGTAGGCGTTTTACTCAGTATTCCTCAAAGCAAAAATGAATGCTTTAAGCGATTTCAGAGAACGTAAATTTATACTTTACGTTCTCTTGCGATTTATTGCCTTCAAAACTCAATGTGGTCATTGTGAACGATTTTTTTGGCAAGAAGCAGGTAGTAAATAAAGCACGAAATAAACTACGCAGGCAGAGGTTGAAAAGAAATTTAGTGAAAAATTAAATAAATTCTGTAGCTCAAACACTTAAAATAATGGACACGGAGAAGGTGCATGAAAAAACGGTAGCTGAAAAATTTGCTGAACGCAAAGAGCGTTTACGTGAACTGCACAAACAACGGCAAGAGGCACGTACGCAGAATCATCAAGAAGTGATAGCTGAAGATGCACGCAAAAAATTGCCCAACAACTGGGAAGCACGTAAACGCCAAGCGGAATGGCTGATGGCAGATGAAAAGGCACGCGAGGAAGCTAAGCAGCAGGGCAAAGATTATGATCGCCTAAAACTCTTAGCTGTTTCAGCAGTAGACGCTGAGCGGATAGAGAAAAAAAAGCGTAAAAAGAATCCTGATTTGGGCTTCTCCACATTTGAAGCGCAAACAGCGCGGCAATACAATCGCTTGGTAAAGAATTTGCCACCACGTGACATGGCCAAGTACGAACAACAGAAAGAGGAGTTGGGTGAGGCCTTCTACGGCGGTCCAAATACTATTTTGCAAGGTCTAGTGAAAGATAAGAAGTCATCAATCGATAATATGGCAAAGGATTTGGAGAACCAAATAGAACGTAGAAAGAAATACTCGCGCAGACGTACGTACAACGATGATGCTGATGTTGACTTCATCAACGAGCGCAACTCTAAATTCAACAAGAAATTGCATCGTTTCTATGGCGAACATACAGCGGAGATCAAGCAGAATCTGGAACGTGGTACTGCCATTTAAGCGTATCCTTTGAACAAATGAAATAAATACATATGTATGATGTCTACATATAGTTCATATGTTTAGTTGTAACATAAATAGAGTTAGGTATAAAAAAAATATTTTTTAGTACGCTCTTTTGCCTTCATTTTTTAGTTTAGATAATGTTTCTGAGTTCTTGCAATTGTGGATATTATTTTCTACTATATACCAAAACATCTTTATCCGCACAGTATTTCAAAGATATTGAAAATTCTCCAGTGACAGACGTTCAGCGTCTTTATTTATTTGCGCCATCGTATCCTCGGATATAATGCGCACCGTACCTTCTTCCATATCATCATTAGGACTATCATCCAGCACACACAGCAGAGTGTCATCTTCATATGTGGGGAAGAAGTACTCTGGTTTGTCCCATTGCTTCTTGGTGCCGCAACCAAAATGTTGCTCGCTGACCATGTGTTCCAGTAACGTGTCCTGAAATTCAAATATACGTATAATTGATGAATATTTTGAAATTTCCCAAAAGTCGGATGTACAACATACTTGATTTTCGCAGCGCAAATTGCAGCTAACACAGCGCTGGAAGCATATCTGTCGTCGTACATAGTTTACGACTTTGATTCTCTGATAAAAGTTTAGACCCTGCAATACTGCTGCGAAATTTACGCCATGAGCTGTTAGCATATGCTCTTTTAAGCCATCAAAGCTTTCTTTTTGTTCTTTACAGTAGAGGCAATTAAGTGGATACATTTTACCTATATCATCATCCCAATCAGACCAATCTGAATCGCTTTCATTACTTTGACTGCGTAATGCAAAGCGTCTTTCAAAATCGGCCTCCGGTGATGTCGCCAATTCGGGTGAACGCACCTCAGCTGCCGCTACTTCTTGGTGGGTACTTTCTTTATGCACTCTCTTTTTAACGTTATGTTGTTTACTATGCTGCTGTGGTTTTTGTTTCTCATTACGATAGTTTAACAGGAAGAATCGATCATAATCACTATTATTAGGATTGATCCGTTTATGTGCTTTCTTACGCATGTGCTCTTTTAAAGTGGAACGATCTTTAAAAATCTTTTCACAGTAGAGGCACACTAAATTCTCTAGATTATGTTGGACTTTTGACAGCAATTCATCAATATACACCAAGTTTTCGGGTTTACCTAATTGCAAGAAGTGTTTGTTGAACAAATGCTCAAGAAAGTCAGAGCGCAAGCCAGTAATAACATCCCGACAATACAGGCATTCTTTTGTGAAATCACGATCGGTGCGTTCAAACTGATGTTGTGCCAACGCGTGTTCCAGGCGTTGCTGCTGGAGTTTGAATCGCAGTTCATAATCTTTCGGTAATATATCACTAAGTAGATAGTATCTTTCGTTTTTCGCAGGTGTTCCGTCGGGCAATTGGTCCAAAAGCATGGTGGTACAATACTCTTCCAGCTCATGCCCTACGAAGGTAAGGCACTTATTAATTACAGTAAAAAAAATATATATATATAAATATCACAGAAACCTTGTAAATCTTTTTGCCAACATTTCAAATACTCATCTAGCAACGCCACATCTTCCACATCGGCTATAACCAAACGGTGCTCCATAAACAGGTGTGCAAGGTAGTCGTCTTTGGCGGTAGGAAATTGATAAACACAATCGCACTTGAGGCATTGTATCTGGAGAGATTCGGGAGTGGCTGCTGGTGGCTGTGCAGATTTCTGGTTAAAAGTTAAAGCAGGCAGTACTTCGTTTTCCAAATGTTTTTCGTCCATTTTGTAATGAAAATAGGACAATTAAGTGGTTTTTATTTTTAGGCATAAGCCCAATACCGCACCAGATGTAGGAATGTCAATAGAAAACAGCTGTTCCAGAGAACGTAAACGTTCTCTGGCTGTTTGGGATGCATTAACAATAGACGATCGTACGGAAAGACGAGTGCAGATAACGTAAATTTATTTATTTACGTTCTCTGACGAATGAAAATGAATTGCAAGTTTGAAAGCGATAAAAAAATTAAAAAATATTCTCAAAAAATAAAAGTATTTTCAGGTCTAAGTTTACAACTAAATTAATTTATTTAATTAAAATCATTCCAAAGAACCTCCATTTAGAGCTCTCTAATTCTTTTCGCGGTTTTGGATTTCACCTGTTCTTCTTCCACTTTCTTTGGCGATCTCAACTCTACACAATTTTTGGAGATTTAAAACGTCATATGATGATGACAGAAGAATAGCAATAGGAAAAAATAAAAACTTTTCATTTAATTTCCACTGGATGAAAATGTATTTCTGTTCGCAAAATAATCGTATTATTTCATAAAACTATAAAGTAGAAAGTTTATGGATCCGAAAGCAAAGTGTAAACAACATTAAAACGAAAAAATGTTATATTAAAGTGCTAAAAGTGAAAAGGGAAACGCACCTCAAGTACGCAAAACGCAATCGCAGCAGAAACGGCAAGAGAAAAATATAAACTACGAATTGTGAAAGGTAGTGATTTATAGAAAAAATTGCACACAAGACTGGAAAACTAGAAATTATAGCAACTAATTAGGTATGTACTTTTATATAAATGTTTCTTAAACATGTTAAATAACTTATTGCAAAGATTTCTACGTTGGTATATAGTAAAAAGTAATTTACCAAACTTATGTGGAAATACAACGAATGACCATCACTGTTACCAATAAATTTATTCCGTCTGAAAAATTTGCACCCCCCATTGACAACGAAACGAAAAACAACAAATGGAAATTCTGCTGATAAGTAGAGTAGCACCATGAACCAATTATACGTTTCTTTCGTGGTCTTTCGTTCATGGAGTAGCACGATCCCCAGTTCCTTATATGTATTTGCGCTGATATATTGTGAAATCGGCACTGAGGCTGGAAAGGGTATATAAACTATGGTAAATACATACATACATTTGCGAAGATGTTCAGAGCAATGTAGATAAGAGAATTGGTCGTCTTTGTCTTCAATCACTGCAACGAAATTTGCTTTTTAGTTGCGTTCCAGATGCTTCACGATTTGCAGGTTTATACAGGATGCCTTTCCATGTGACCACCTTCAATAATGTTTATTAATGTAGAAAACATCTTTTCCTTCAAATCCTGTAAAACTTGCAAATCGGGAAACATCTGGAACGCATCTTTTATGTACTTGGGGATCTTTCCTTTACGCACTACATACATATTTCTCAACGTCATTAAGCAAAACAGTAGAAATAATAGGCAACAATAAGGTATGCACACGACTTGTTACTGAGCAAAACATTTTTTCCAAGCCCCATCATTATCTTATTCTTCCAATATATGTATGTATATTGTATAAAAAGTAGCTCCACATACATACATATGTTATGAGTTCAAACGCGTAAATGCAAAATGTGATATGTACATAATTAGATACTTACCTAGATATGTACGTTCATATTTACATACAGTATTGGACATAATTATAGCACCCCCATTTCAAAGAGATATCTATTGTTTGCCACTTATGTTCAATTATGTAATTATTTATAACAATTTTCAATTAAAATACATGTAATTCTCTAACAAAACACATATAACGCAAGTGTAAAACTGTGCAAAAGACTACAAAAAAATGCAAAAAATGTTCACCCGAATTTAAAACTTTTTCTCAGAAATGTTGGAGTTTTTTGAGTACACAGTTTCATAGCCCATTCAACTTTAGTCTGATAATGTACAACTTTCAAGTGGCTGAAAATTGCCGTTGATTTTTTAGAATTTCTTGTCGCATTTGCTTCCATATAAAGAATAAACGCAATTTTTTTATAGGAAAGGAACCCGCAACACTTTCGGCAAAAAAAAAAATCAAGCCCAGTGAAGTTAGCTCAATAAATAGGGGTAAGCTTACAATAATTCTCATAGAGCTGAAAATTGGTACGAGTGTTGGGGGCAAACAATATCACTTCGAAATTGGAGTGCTATTGTATTGGCCAATACTGTGTGTATAAACTTGCAAAATTTTCGCTATGATAACGTTTCACGAGTCCGATTATCTCGTACGCATGTTCTTAAAGAGGCCTGAGTGAAATTAATAAAATGAAAAATATGGAAATTTTTTGGCCCAATGTTTATTATGTGTATTATTAGGTACTATGTTCCTATATAGTAAGTAATTGCATTTGAGATTCATCGCTCAAATTCTTTACATATTAAAAAGCTTCCCTAAATGCGTTAAAGCTGGAGTTTCCAACGCAGTTGGTTGTAATTGCTTTGTTTATTTCCATTGTCTTTATTTACTTTTTATATATATATTAAATTACATTATATACATGCACATATGTATACCTACTTTGTATATATGTATATTATGTATGAATGTTTGAATTTGCTGATGAAGTGTTTCGCTTGAACATTGGCAGCTGCGAGAATTGATTATTGTTTGTACTTTATGTACAAATGTATTTGCTGTTGTAATGCAAGTAAGCTTAAATCTGCATTTAAATAGCAGAATGTATTTTTATTATTTCAATTTATGCACGATTGCAGTTACATACATACTTAGTATAGTAGGTATATCTTTTTAAAATAAAATTCTCAGCAATTAGCACTTTCACTGTTCAACTTTTTATGCACAAAAAGCAGAGTATGTTCATTTTGCTGGCGTAGGACTTGATTTTGTATGCATTGTTCTTCCTTATCTAAAAGTGTGTAGTACAAAAATAGTTATAAACGTCATATATATTAAATATTCAAACAAACTAAACAAAGAATCAACAACTATACATGCGTATGTACATACATATTTATGTACATATGTGCACATTATCAGCTCATTAATAAACACATTTGCTCTTATCACAAAACAAATTTCTCGGAATCGATAAAGCTGGGCGACCACAAACACTTGTGGAGGCACAAAAAAACACTCTTTTTCCTCCTAATATATTTCGATATACCTATTAGCTAGTTTAAATGCTCAAAGGCAAATTTTTGTTTCTTTTTTTAACCGACTTCAAAAAAGGAGGAAGATGGTTATCAATTCATTGGAATATTTTTTGTATTTGTTACCGGATAGCTTAAGACCACGTGAACCGTTTTCGATTATTCTTTTTTTTATTGGAAAGGTGGTCAAGGGTGGTCTCT